CACCCCCCTCCCTGCCCCATCTTTTTTTTCGCACTTTTTGTTTGCTAAATATGCATTACTACTGGTTATTACAGGTCGTCTTCACATGTTTTTTTATCGTGGCGTGGCGTGCTCATTTGAAAATGTGATAGGATTTTGCTGTGTGTGGAGGGCCAGTGGCGCTAGTTTCAGTGAATTAGTAGAATAACGGAAATTTCGAAATTTCAATGTGCAAAAATCGAATTTTCCCACGATTTTTTTGATTTGTTTGAGTGATAAGTTTTGAATGAAATTTATTTAGTGAGATTTTTTTTATTTTTCGGTTTTAGTTTTTTAGTAATTTTTTTTAGTTTTGGTGATTTTTTGATTTTAGTTTTATTTTTTAGCATATTCAATGCAAAAATCGAATTTTCCCGCGATTTTTTTTGATTTGTTTGAGTGACAAGTTTTAAGTGAAATTTACTTAGTGAATTTTTTTTTGGTTTTTGGTTTTAGTTTTTTAATAATTTTTTTAGTTTTAGCAATTTTTTAGTTTTAGTTTTTATTTTTTAGTATATTCAATGCAAAAATCGAATTTTCCCACGATTTTTTTGTTAAGTTTGACTGACAAGTTTTGAATGAAATTTACTTAGTGAAGTTTTTTTTGTAGTTTTTAGTTTTAGTTTTTTAATAATTTTTTTTAGTTTTAGTAATTTTTAAGTTTCGATTTTATTTTTTAGTATATTCAATGCAAAAATCGAATTTTTCCACGATTTTTTTGATTTGTTTGAGTGATAAGTTTTGAGTGAAATTTATTTAGTGAAATTTTTTTTGTAGTTTTTAGTTTTAGTTTTTTAGTAATTTTTCTTAGTTTTAATAATTTTTTAGTTTTGATTTTATTTTTTAGTATATTCAATGCAAAATCGAATTTCCCACGATTTTTTTGATTTGTTTGAGTGATAATTTTTGAGTGAAATTTATTTAGTGAAGTTTTTTTTTAGTTTTTAGTTTTAGTTCAGTAATTTTTTTTAGTTTTGGTGATTTTTTAGTTTTAGTTTTATTTTTTAGTATATTTTAATATATAAATTTTAGTAATATTTAGTGAAATTTTGTAAAATTCGAGTGAAATTTAGCACTGGAGTGTGCTTGGCGGTCAAAATCATCACCATGCGTTTTTGCATTTGTTTAAGTACTCCTGAAAAGCATTGATGTCTTCAGTGAGGTGAAAGTTTTGAGGTGTTAGATATCGCCTGAGCGCTTTTATCCCCATCAAGAATGAGGTAGAAATTTTAGCTTTTGATTGAATACAGGCAAATTTTGCGGAGTTTTTTTTGTGCAGTTGAGCAAAAGATTGCAAAAAAATGATCGGAAATCTAGTTGAGCCGAATAAGCGATCAAAATACGCGATATCCTTTTTCTTAAGCACAGAACAGCTCAGTGGATTTTAAAAATTCGCAAAAATATTTGAGATGCTTTTTTGTTTCCAGGAACAATTTGTGGCTTACCGCAAGACAACAAGCAAAAAGCTAAGGATTCGGCCTGTGAACGAGTACTGATCCAAGAGCTTGGCCTAGTTATGCCATACGAAGATGATTCGATGAAACGAGCAGCTGCGGTCCTTTCGCCACCGTATGCGCTACATCAGTTGATGGTAAAGCAAAATGTTAGTTTTTTTTTTTGTTTATGTGACCAGGTTTTTATATTTTTACTGCTTTTTTCCTACCAGTTTCATTAATCAATAAAAAATGGCCAGCGCACGGGCTGCCAGTGCGAAGATGCGTTTTTTGCATAATCTCCCGCAGGTTTTAG